CAGCCCTTCTCCCTGCAACCCCGGTCTCCCCCTCCCTCTTCCCCTCCCCCACCCCTGCTAATCAACCGGCCAAGCACCAGAGTACCACGGAAACTCAGGTCAGCAGGAGGGGAGTGGGGAAGGTGTCGGAGCCCGATGGTAACAACTCCTCAGCCAAGAAGGAACATTATTTTCCAGGACAGGACATGAATATTGACTCAGCCTCAAGCAATAATTGTGTTTCTGGGAGATCATCATGGTAAAACAGCTGTGTTATTGAGACTCTAAGGTGTTGCAAGGAATTTGTTTAGATTACACCCTCGGGCCAGAACTGCTCATAAAGCTAAGGGCCAAGGATTTTCCTTTAAGTTGTAGGAGGAGAGAAGGTGGAGCCAAGTTCCAGGCACATCCCTGGCCTCCCCCTCTCCCCCCAGTCCTGTGAGGACAGATTGGTTCTGGATGTAGGATCTGTGGGAAGAGAAACCAGTCTCAACGGAAGGCTGCCAGAGAGAGGGCCTGCCATGGACCCTTACGGGGCCCAACCAGGTGTAAACTTGGGTTCCGCTACTTCCCTTGTTGTTTGAGGCTAGAAGAGTTACTTTGCTTATCTTTAAAACTGGGGTCAAAAGCAGATGGGAGCTGCAAGGAGGCAGGTTTTAGCTCAGTGTGAGGGTGAGCTCTAACCATGTGAAGCCCCCCAACATTGAAGGCAACCCAGGGGTGACCACTTCAAGGAGGTACTATAGAGGGGACTCTATCATGACTTGCAGGAGCAGGGATGAGATGACCCTTAATTCTCTTCCAGTTCAGGGATGATTTGGACCAGTTGCCAGCTGGTTACTCAGGCCACAGCTGTGACTGCTAAGTGCAAGCCCCTTCTCTGAGGCTTGGGAGGAAACTGCAATGGTCCCTTTCCTCGCCCGGGGGCTCCTCAGCTGTGGGCCGCTTGTCCGTCACCTGGGAGTGCCACTGCTGTGGACTGCACAGGCCCTTGCGATAATCACCCACTGTCAGGCCCCAGGATAAGCTGCTTTGCCCTTCTGGGCCTCAGTTCCTCATCTTTAAAACAGGGACAATATTAAGGATTAGATGAGATAACATGAGAGTATTCCACCCAGAGGTTGGCACATGGCCCAGAAAAGCAAAAGATAGTTCCCTCCACTCCCCCAGGACTTGAATAGCACACACCTCACACCCACCTACCAAGAAACCAAACCATTCAGTGACCAGAGGTTTGGACACTTCAGGTCAAGAGAGAGGTTATTTGCTGGGCAAGTAGCCCAACCCTCCTTACCCCGCCCCCTTCAAGGCTCCTGCAGGAGGCCCTCAAGGTCTCCGAATGCAGTAGGCCTGTGGCAGGTGCTCAGAAGACGTCTCTGCAGTGGACATGGGGGGCATGGACAGGTCCAGACAGGGAGAGCCTGTGAGGATTTCTGGATGCCACGCCCTGCCTTTGCCACCCAGCCCCCAGGAGCCATACCACCTAAAGCTAAGCTTTTGAGACCCTCTTGTAATGTCAGTGCATTCTCTGGAGGCGCAGTATGACTCCACTACTGTGGCTACACGACAGTAAATTCAGATGTCAAAGCTGAACAGAACCTTAGAAGTCAGACCCAAGTTCCGTTCTACAGATGCAGAACTGAGGCCAGAGAGGTTGGCAGTCCCAGCCAGAGCCCAGCAGTAATCCTGAGATTCCTAGCCCAGTGCTCTTCCTTCTTCAGGTCGAGGCAAGCTCCTTACTGCCCTGTGTGCAGAAATACCACCAGGGGCAGTAAAGGCCAGGGGACCCCATCAGGCCACCGGGGCGGGGGTATGTCCCAGGGCAAGGGCTATGTTTCTTCTTTCAACTGGAGGCTCCACTGGGATGGGGTTGTGTGTCCTCTATCAGACTGAGGACTCCGACTGAGTTCAGGGCCCCGGAGTCCACCTAACAGACCCCTTGTTGTGGGCCAGTCGTTGTGCATAGAGAAAAAGGCTGCGCTCTAGAAAGGCTCAGAGAGTCTGACACACACCCCCTTTCCTCGCCCCCACCTCCTGCCTTGCACAGCGCTGGGGCTGCGCAGTGCAGAGGGATGTTGGTGTGGGGTTGGGCAGGGCCTGGGAACTCCGTGGGCTGCCCACAGCCAGGACAGCTCCTTGTCCTCTCCAAGTCCCAGAGGGACATTCACTGTCCGGGGGCAGGAAACTCACCAGCTGCGGACAACACCCCACTGGGGCCTTGGGGCAGCACCGAAGGCCTGATCCTCAGCTCTGCCTCAGAACCACGACCCCCACATTCTGCAACCTCCTCCCCCTGCCACCTGGCTCCTGAGGGTGGGAACTGGGTTTGTACACCAGGTCTCAGCCCACTCAGCCCAGGGCTGGCCCTGGAAAAAACTGGACTGGGAACTTCATCCAGGAGGGATTTGCTTTCCTTTGCTCTACTGCTCTCAGGAGAGGTCCAGGCAGTGTCTTCACCTGGTTGTGCCTGCCAGTTACTAAGTACCTGAAACAGGACCCTGGGGGTCAGCCCCTCCCCAACACCACCTCTTAGCTTGAGCCTGGAGACAGCAGTTTCTCTCCTCTGACACAAGGCTAGTGCTGGTGAGGAGAGGCAGCTGGGCTGGGACCTGGGGTCATGGACAGGGTGCAGTGCGGTCCCACATCTTCGTTCATAATCAAGGAAAAGTCCATCCCATCTCTAGGCCTCCTCTTCCTCACCTGTGACATGGGAATAGTCAGACACCCTCTTCCTACCCAGGAGCCCACTAGCAAGAACAGTTAGGACCAGGCACTGCAGAGCCAACCTTCCTCCAAGAGGGAGACTGTCAGAACTGTCAGCCAAAGGCTGGCCTCGGGCCTCGGGGCAGGAGGGAAGCTGGCAGAGGGCCTGGGACAGTATCCATGGGGACTCCTGCCACCCCCTCCATTTCCTCCTCCTCTTCCTGTCTGGTCCCTAGGGCAGAGCATCTGGGATATTTCTGGCTGCCTCTTCCAGGCCTTCGGCTTCCCAGGCTCACACAAGTGGTCCCCACACCCCAGACTGCTTTGATGGAGTGACCTGGGTGGGAGTTCCCTGGAGGGGGAGGCACATTTGTGTTGGGTCTGCAGATTCATACGTGAGGACATGTGCATACTTGTGTTCCAGGGGGAGGGAAGTTCCCCTGCCCCCTCCCAACACCAACTCTGTCGTCAAGAGCCTTTCCATCCTCCCGGAGAAGTCCTGCAGTTGAACATCTCCAGAATGGCAGATACCGCCCTACAGGGGTCTGGGCCTCAGTTTCCCCACTTGTAGAATGAGTTGGCAGGCGAAGGTAATCACTAAGCTCCCTTTCACCTGACATTTTGGAACCCAGAGTCTTAGCTGGTCACCCAGGAAAGTTCAGTGCAGTGGGGAAAGTGCCCCAGGGCCGGGCAGCAGATGGCCTGAGACTGTGTCCCAAGCTAAATAACCCTGGGCAATTCTCTTTCTGGTCGTTCACTATAAATGGAGGGGCTGAACCACAGGAGCTAGAAGTTCCTTCCAGTTGTGACTCCCTGGCTCAGCACTTATAGCACAGAGGGACAGCAGGCCATGGTTTAAGGGCTCATGCTCTTGAGTCAGACTGGCTGCGCACCGGTCCTCGCCCTGCCACTTGCCAGCCCTGTGACCTTGAGCATGTGACTAAACCTCTTAGTGCCTTAGTCTTCAAATCTAACAAATGGGGCCATTAATAATATCTCACTCATAGTGTTGCTATAAGCAATATCTACAAAATGAAAGAAAATAATAGCATGTGCTCATGGAATTGTTACAGGAATGAAAGTGCTTACAAAAGTGTCTGACATCGTGTAATTTAAGTGATAACTGTTCTATTTCACGAAGCCCTTCTTCTCTCTCATAGTTATATGATCAGCAGCGCCACTTTGCTTTTCCTAAGGTTTAGATACACAGCAAAGAAGCGCTGGCAAGTGGAGAATATAGACATCAGCTTCCCATTCCCATCTCAATTCGGGAAGTATTTCCACATTCAGGGGCAAAGTACTTCCCATTGGACACTACCTGCCACGCTCCTATTTTTACAGAGAAGGAATCCAGGCTCGAAATAAGAATGGACTAGACAGCAGTCAGGGCTCGGGGCCAACTTAGAACTCGGCTCCAGACCCCACCTGGCTCACTCTATTTGCTCTACCTGTGCCTCCTCCCTCCAGTGCCCAACTACCCCTTGCCCACCAGTGGATGGGGTGGGCTAGGCATTAATCCTGTCCTTGCTTCTTCCCAGTTGAATGACCCTGAACAAGTCACATACATTCTCTGAGAACTTTACAGATATTGTCCCAATACGGGCTTGCCCGATCTGAAAATAGAGCATTCCTTCAAAACCTTTTGTAAATGGAAATGGCCTAAAGCAAAGAAGCAATTACCTTAGGACGCATCTTGCTAACAGATGCAGAAAATAAGTCAAGATGAAGCACGAACGCTCACACACAGTTCAGAGTTATTGCGCTGGATGTTGAGATGCTGAGTGTGGTTCCCAGGGAAGGAGCGCGGAGGCGGCCGCTCCCTGCTGCTCCGGGTGCACAGGCTGCCTCGGCAAGGACTGGCTGGGAAACCCTGAACGCTATTTTCGCTTTTCAGAGTTTCTTTTACTTAGTGAAGGCAGACACTAATGTAGGTCTTTCGAGAAAGCAGAGCGGCATAAAGTGAACTTTCAAAAAGCAGGGGATACCTGTACCATGGCCCCGTTTTGAGGAAACAGGGTCAGAGTTAGGGCGCTTGCACAAACAAGCACGAGGACATACAGCTGGTCTGGTGCAGGTTAAATAAGACATCTTTGTAAGGGTCCCTCACGTTGCCCGGCATGCAGGTGCTCAGTATATGGTCACTATTATCATTTCCCGTGAGGGACTGAGTGACCGTGAAGGTCCCTGGATGCCCTCTGGGCCCGGGGCCATACAGCCTGCTAGCCACCACATCACATGAGCCATACTATCTTTAGCCAGAGAGATATTTATATACGGGGGAAGTTTTTTCTGCTACGGGGGTGCCCCAGAGTCTGTGGCCGCTGAATCCAGGCCTGCGGCAACGGCCGCGGCCGTCCCTTCTTGCCATGCCTCTGGGTCCGAAGACTGCCGTGCAGGTGTGGGTGGGTGGCCAGCTCTTCCAGGCCGACCAGGCCCTGTTGGTGGAACACTGCGGCTTCTTCCGCGGCCTCTTCCGATCCGGCATGAGGGAGGCGCGCGCGGCCGAGGTGCGCCTGGGCGCCCTGAGCCCGGCCGGCTTCCACACTACGCTGCAGGTGCTGCGCGGCGAGCGGCCGGCGCTGGAGGCCGCCGACGACCTGCTGCAGGCCGTGGAGTGCGCCGCCTTCCTGCAGGCGCCGGCGCTGGCGCGATTCCTGGAGCACAGCCTCACGTCCGACAACTGCGCGTTGCTGTGCGACGCGGCCGCCGCCTTCGGCCTGCGAGATGTGTTCCACAGCGCCGCGCTCTTCATCCGCGACGGCGCGCGCGACCTGGCGACGGAGCTGGTGCTGCCCGAGGCCCGCGCGTACGTGGCGGCGCTGCGGCCCAGCAGCTACGTAGCTTTAAGCACGCACACCCCTGCGCCTGGCTTCTTGGAGGACCAGTCGCGAACGGTGTGCTACCTCGACGAGGAGGAGGACGCGTGGCGCACGCTGGCTATGCTGCCCTTGGAGGCCAGCACAATGCTGGCTGGTGTGGCCACGCTGGGCAACAAGCTCTACATTGTGGGGGGCGTGCGAGGTCCCAGTAAGGAGGTGGTGGAACTCGGCTTCTGCTACGACCCTGAGAGTGGCACCTGGTGCGAGTTCCCCAGCCCGCATCAGCCGCGCTACGACACGGCACTGGCCGGCTTCGATGGCTGCCTCTACGCCATCGGCGGCGAGTTCCAGAGGATGCCCATGAGCTCCGTGGAGCGCTACGACCCGGCCGCTGCCTGCTGGAGCTTCGTGGCAGACCTGCCGCAGCCGGCTGCCGGCGTGCCCTGCGCCCAGGCATGTGGTCGCCTTTTCGTGTGTCTGTGGCGGCCAGCCGACACCACGGCTGTGGTGGAGTACTCGGTGCGGGCCGACACCTGGCTGCCGGTGGCTGAGTTGCGACGTCCTCAGAGCTACGGCCACTGCATGGTGGCCCACCGTGACAGCCTCTACGTGGTGCGAAACGGGCCATCCGACGACTTTCTACATTGCGCCATCGATTGCTTCAACCTGGCCACGGGCCAGTGGACGGCGCTGCCCGGCCAGTTTGTCAACAGCAAGGGGGCGCTCTTCACAGCGGTGGTGCGCGGTGACACCGTCTATACTGTCAACCGCATGTTCACACTGCTCTATGCCATCGAGGACAGCGCCTGGCGGCTGCTCAGGGAAAAGGCAGGCTTCCCACGGCCCGGCTCCTTGCAGACCTTTCTCCTGAGGCTGCCTACTGGTGCTCAGGGGCCTGTGGCCTCAACAACACCTGAACTGTGACTCCTGGACCGGGCTTTAGGAGAGGATGACCTCCTGAGTTTTCCCTGAGTCACGGCTGAGTCTGTGAGGCCGGACCTTTTGAGCAGCGGGGAATTCCTCTCTTCCTGGTTGAGACGATCAGATCTCATGTTGTCAGGTGGTGTAAACATGTCCAGGAAACTCAGGGAGCAAAGACATGCTAGGGTCTGAGCCCTCAATGAAAGCTGGTGGGTCACAATGTCAGTGTGTGTGGGGGGGAAGGAATTGCTGTCATCTAGGCTTGTGTGTGAGCCAGGAATGGGCCAGGAAGTGAGCATGGGTAGGAGTGGATCAAGTGATGTTAATCAAACTAGGCAACTACTGTGTGCCCAGCACACTGCTTCCCCTGGTGTAGTTTGTAGTTGCCAGCCAGACAGAGGTCCGCAAAACTTAGAGTTTAGCCCAGAAAAACTCAATTCTAACAGAACATTTAGAGGACAACAAAAGGTTTACACATACTTGTCTTGGTCCACAAAGGGTTGAAGGCAATATGCAAAAAAGAAAAGAAAAGAAAGAGAGAGAGAGAGAAAGAACCCATAATGTAACATAAATATAAAACAAAGTACTGAAGAAATTAGGGCAAAGGGTAACTAGGAAAAGGAAAAATAAGTAATTCCAGGAAGGAGGGTATACTACGTGAAGAAGAAAGGCAGGATGATTAGCTGCTGAAAGGGAGGCCCATCTGGTGGAGACAGAGCTCAGCAGGCCCAGGAGAGGAGGGAAGGGGTCAGCAGACCGGGAGTCTCTGTGAACCCCGCCTTGGAGGCAGAGCAGTTGTGGATGGGGACATTCGGGGTGGGGGCAAGGCTGGGCTGGCATGTAGAGACAACTGAACCGAACCTGGAGAGAAACCTATGAGGAGAAAAGGGGTTTCCTCACCCCCTTATAGGGTATGAACCTGCAGGGAGAACCCAGTGGTAAGCCCCTTGCCTACCCCCATTTTTCATCACCCCAGGGGCAGTGGACTATTAACTTCCACGAGTACAGGCCACTGAAGGTATGACCCAATCCTGACCAGGTCTAATTGCCTCATCCTATCCTTCCCTCACATTCTACAGGTTAATTCTCTCCTCTTAGCCTCTGCTCCTGCTATTCCCTGGGCCTGGAATGCCTTCCTCTTCTCTTTCTGTTGGCTCTGTCCCTACCCCCTCTGCTCAGGTTTGGCTGGTCCTGACCTTGGCCACCCACACTGCTTACTGAACCCCTAACCGATGTCATTCTGAGTGTGTGTGTGCACAGCCACACAAGTGTGCACACAGCAAGGGCACCCATCCTACTGTGCCGTCAGCTGAGCTGGGGCACTCTCCCGCCTACAGAGTAACATGGCGAGGTCCTGACAGTACCCATGCTCCAGAGGCCACTAATTAAGAACCTGGTGTTAGAATGAAGATTCTTGTCCCTCCTTTAGAATACTCCACCCTGGTTCCTATTCAGACGTCCACCCCTGTCCATTCTTTCCATGCCCCTGGGCAGACTTCTCTGACTGGTCCTGAATGGTCTCCATCCTCCAGATCTGAGGCCCACGGGAAATCCCAGCCTCCTCACGAGTGGAGAACGCAGCATCCGCATGGCACCACCTGGACATGGAGTCTAGTGTAAGGGCTGCCCCTAGCTACCTTTCCGCCTGACCTATGTCTCAAGCCTCGGAGAATGCTGCCCTCAGAAGCCTGGGTCATTCTAGCCTGGGAGTAGCCTAGTCTGATGAGTCACAACAATAAATCCTGACTTTTGATTCCTGTTAATGGTGTACAAAGTACTTTCACGTCCCTCTTCCCACTTCAGCCCTGCCTCAGTCCTGGGAGTTAGGTACCTTTTCCCTGTGGCAGATGAGACATGCGAGGCTCAGAGTCTGAGTGACTGGCCCATGCCAAAGCATGGCAGAGCACTCACTTTTAGGTTTTGCCCAAGTATAATCTTTTTTACCGCATGTCCAAGATCTATTTATTTAACTCAGTAAACAGGGCCCCAGAAGAATGGCAAAGCTGGTTCATCAAAGGAACATTTAAGAGACAGAGATTTGTGTATTTAGTTGGAAAAGACATAAATAAGTTTGCTAAGGTAAGAAATGAAGCTGGTTAATGTCTTATAGGGCAATAAAAGCATAACTACTTTGGTTCTCTCCTTGACTAAAAACCTTTGTATCTTCACATACATGCACATACATACTTGTACACACAGCTAACATGTTAGCATATAAGTTCATAAAGTCAGGACCTTGATCAGCAGTGAACTATAAAACAAAAGTATATTCCCCTAGACGATTATGTGACTCTCAGCTGTTTGGTTCTGCCCCAGAATGACCTGGGAAGGTCGTGCAGCCCTCCTTGTGTTTGCCTAACAGCACAGAGTGCTCTCTTTGCTCAGCCTGGTGCTGACCACCCCGAACTTGCAATCTTGAGATCCATCAGCTTGTTTGCTGTCTCAACCCACAGAGCTTGGTGTTTGTCAGCCTCTGCAGCTGGCTGTGTGGACCAGCCCGGAGGGGCCTGCTGGCCCCTGAGGTTTGGTCGTTCCTTGAGCCAGAGCAGCCCTTTCTGATATGTCTTTCGTGCATAATAATAATGTGATATTCACAGCTTTCCCGTGGTTGACTTATCTAAGCTTTGTAAGAATTTTAAGTGATAGGCAGCTCAATAATACTCCCACTCCCCTCTTAAAATAAATAAATAAATAAATAAATAAATAAATAAATAACCCCAAATACCCAAAGGTTATGAGATTGGAAGAGGCACAACTAGGAAGTAGCAGAACCTAGCTTTGAACCCAGGGCCACACGTTTTATTTTCTTTTGCTGTCTCTTTGTTTGGCTGACATTTCTAGCAAGACAGACAAGGTTTTCCTGCCTGTCTCCTTAACATTCCTCTCTGTTATCCTTCTCTCCGCACGTTCTCTTCTTAGGGTTCGTCCACTCACCTGGATCTAATCCTTCACCTCCTCCTGATAGGAAAATTCACTCCCCTGGGTTCTTTTGCCTCAGATCTAGCTGGGAGACTAAGGGCCCACGTCATGAGGGTGTTAGTGACCGGTTGAGGCTCTCCCTCTCATGAAGTGTGGGGGAAGTCTTCATAATCCAGCCCACCTTCTTCTCTAGCCTCAGAGGTTAGATTCCATTGTTCCTCCCACAACCCACCATGCTTGCCAACGATTGTAACCATGACTAGTTTGCAGGTAAGGAACTCTCTCTGTCCCAGCCCAGAGGCCCCCCTATGAGAGATCTGTCCTAGAGAGATCTACACACACACACACACACACACACACACACACACACACACACACACACACGGAGAGCTTAACACAGCAAGGAGCGCTTTTCCGAACTTCCATGACAGCCCTGCAACCCAGCCCCCTAGGGGTCTCTCCGGTTGTGCATGCAGTCTCCTTGTACCTGAGACTTTAGTGTCTGGATGTCCTGCACCCCACGCTTTCCTCTCCCTGGAAGTCTGCCTGTTCTGCTTCTGTAGCCTACCTGACGGAGGCAGAAGGGGAAGCCAGACCTTCTCACACATTCACCCAGGGCCTGCTGCCCTGCTTGCCTCCCTTCACGTCTGCCCACGTGGCAGCCAGAATGAAACGCCAGCCACACCTGTTGCTCCTCCACTCAGACCCTTAGGTGGCCCCTCGTCTCACCAAAGTCCTTTCAGGACCCTCTGCCCCATTTTCTCTCTGGCTCCTTTTACCGCTTCCCCACAGCCTCATTGCAATTCAAACACGCAGGGCACACTCCCACCTCGGGGCCTTCGCTTGGTGTCCCTGTGCCTGGCACACCTGTCTCACTTAGCTGCCTGGCTCACTTCCCACTTCCTGCAGGCCTTTGTCAGATACCAGCCACACCCATGGGCTGACAGTCCCCCTTGGAGCGCGCCAGTCATGGGCATAGGATTATGGGACCCCAGTGGAGGGGGTCTCCCAGGACTCATCCAGACAGTGCTCTCTGCAGCCCTCATGCTTCTGCCCTAGCTGGAGTGGGGGGGCGTAGGAACAGAGGGAGCCCCTCTGTTTATTCATTCAGAGGCCTTTCCTGACTTCCCTACTTAAAATATACCCCTTCCACCCTGACCAGAGTGGCTCAGTTGGTTGAGTGTTTTCCTGTAAAGCAAAAGGTCACCGGTTCCATTCCTGGTCAGGGCGCATGCCTGGGTTACTGGGGTAGGGGGGCATGCAGGAAGCAACCAGTTGATGTTTCTCTCCTCTTTCTCCTTTCCTTCCCCTCCCTCAAAAGATAAATGAATAAATAAAATCTTTAAAATATACCTCTTTTTTCTCCCTCCCCGTTATTGCTTTGCTTTCCTCTGTAGCATCTGGAATCGTCTACTGCACTATATTTGTACGTGTTTAGTGTCTGTTCCTCCTACTAAAACTGAGCTCCATGTTTGTCCATTGCTGGGTCAGCCAGGTCCCAGAACAGTGACTAGAACATTGAAGGGGCTCAATAAATATTAGGCGAATGAATGAATGAACGGTGCTCAGTGGATGTCGGAAGAATGAGTGGAGTGATCGATCAGCCAAAGGAAAAACTCATAGAGGCCATTAGACCTCAGAGTAGAGGGTATCGTTTCTGCAGGGGTTTGGGGGCCAGGTAATGAGGGGAGACCTTCAGCAGGAGGCGATGAGCTATCGAGTCCACCAGTTCCCCTGCACACTTTGGGAAGAATGGGACCTGAGAACAGCAGCATCTGAGGTCACTTCTCTGCCTTCAGTGGAGGGGCGGAGACTGGAATTGGAAGTGGTAATCACTCTGTGAAGAATTGCTCCTCTTGGCGGTGGAATACACACAGGGCCGGTCTGTTTATTTTCCTTTGGCCCCAAGCAGCCGGGCCTCTTTTTCATTCTAATTGCTTTGCTTCAAGTTGCTGTCACTTCCCAGGAACAGCAGCAGCATATTAACTGTGCTGGTGGGAGACACAGCTGTAGGCTGACAGGCCACCTTGGAGTGTGCCAGTCATGGGCATGGGATTATGGGACCCCAGTGGAGGGGGTCTCCCAGGACTCATCCGAACAGTGTCCTGTGCAGCCCTCATGATTCTGCCCTAGCTGGAGTGGGGGCGTACGAACAGAGGGAGCCCCTCTCTGGGGTCTCAGCAGCTAACAAAAGATAACAGGCCTTTTGGCCACAGGGTCTTGGAACAGGATATAAGCATCTCATCCAGCCCATCTCTTTCTATAGGGAGCGAAGGGAAGTCAAGGCGGGGCACGTAACTCCCCTGGAGACACGGCAATGCAGTGGAGCCCCCTGAGCCAAACCTACGTCTCTAGAATCCTCTTCTGGCCACACCGTGCTGCATCTCTTGTGCTGCCTTCCAGGACACCCTTGAGGGAGGTTCCCCCAAATCTCCAATGGTGGTATTTGGGCTCCCGGGTCCTTCAGCTAACTCAATCTCTCTCTCTCATACACGCGCACACAAATTTCAACAACTCTAAGGTAGCCTGATGCCACTGGCCCAATATGTTTCTCTTTCCAGTAACATCTTCATTCTAACAGGGGCCTTCTGAGCTGTGCCTAACTCCAAGCCGAGATTAGCAGAGGGAATTTCAGATGCTCTGAGAGGGACACAGCACTGGGTTGGGGTGGAAACAAGGGGCCGAGGATCTCGCAGGCAGCACTCTGCAGAGGCTAGCTCTGCCTGCCAGGCAGTCAGCTGGTTTTTGAGTCAAACTCTGGCTCTGACACATATGAGAGTAAAATGAGAACCTAGAGACCAGCATATGTTATGCTCATCTTCCTCATTCCCTCTTCCTCCCCTCCTTTTTACTCCTTCCCATCAGCCTATTACTAGGACCGTTTCTGTGAAGCAGGCATGGGTCAGATGAGGTGCATCTGGTTCTGCTGTCCATGCACTGGACTGCTGTCCCCTCAGTGAGGAGGCAGGATGGGGAGGGTCAGCATCAGCATTGGTGGCAGGGGACCTGGGTTCGTATGCCAGCTCCATCACTTGCCAGCTGTGCCATCTGGGGCAAACTCGGTTTCTGTATAAAATATTGATGGTGATGG